AGATACTTTTACAATACAGTGTCAGGGGATTATTCTTTGCTTTCTTTCCAGGGGAAATATTTACAAACAGAAAACAAATTTATTTAATAGTGTTATGCAAGCCTTTTTAAAAAATGATTAATTGAGGAACATGGGGTACACTTGAGGCCCTGCTTGGGACACATGTGAAAAATGCCAGAGAAAATCGGTCCCTGTTGGGGTGTGAAAATAATTAAGTGGCAGACAGTTAGACTTTAGGAGTCTGAGAGACTGAAGAGGCTCTCGTCCCCGGATTCCTACTTCTAAGAAAAAAATCTAAACTCAAGTGCATTTTTTGGTAAATCACTACATTAGGGGAAACACAATTCAAGCTTAAACAACTATAAAGTGCCAATTAAACTCTGATTACATAATCAGGAAATTTCCACCTGACCAATTATTGAATATGGTTTTCTTCATCATGCATCTTATAAATGTGTTTTCTTCAAGCCCCTCCCATGGACCTCAAACTACAAACTATAGCTGGGTGCTCTACAATTCTTCTATAATTCTTTCATTAAATTACTTGATATTGTTGCAGTGACTCCCATATGGTTTTTTTTTTTTTTTTTGAGACGGAGTCTTGCTCTGTCGCCCAGACTGGAGTGCAGCAGCCCGATCTCGGCTCACTGCAAGCTCCGCCTCCCGGGTTCACGCCATTCTCCTGTCTCAGCCTGCCCAGTCGCTGGGACTACAGGCGCCCACCACCACGCCCGGCTAATTTTTTGTATTTTAGTAGAGTCGGGGTTTCACCGTGTTAGCCAGGATGGTTTCGATCTCCTGACCTCATGATCCGCCCGCCTCGGCCTCTCAAAGTGCTGGGTTTTTTTTCTTTTCTTTTTTTTTTTTTTGAGAGTCTTGCTCTGTCGCCCCAGCCGGAGTGCAGTGGCGCGATCTCACCTCACTGCCACCTCCGCCTCCCAGGTTCAAGAGATTCTCCTCTGTCCCCGGAGTAGCTGGGACTACAGACAGTTGCCATCACACCCAGCTATTTTTTGTGTTTTTAGTAGAGATGGGGTTTCCCCATTTTGGCCAGGCTGGTCTTCAACTCCTGACCTCAAGTGATTCGCCCACCTCCGCCTCCCAAAGTGCTGGGATTATAGGCGTGAGCAACCGGGACCGGCCCCGTACATTTTTAATAGGAAAAAAGAAAAACTGTGAACCCCAGGGACCAAAGCTCTTTCCATTCATGAACCCGCAGCCCGAGTCAAGAATCTCCCCCTGTCGACCCTCCCCTCGTCCCTGCGCAATCTGGGAGAGACGCGGCGCTGCGGGTGCAGAGCTGCCCAGAGAGGGCTCCAGGCCAGGGCACAGTCACCGCGCAGGGAAGAGACAGGACGGCCGGGGCCCGGCCGTCAGCTTAGCCAACATGTTATGGCTGAAGGGGACAGAGGCCGAGCTGGGCAAGAAAAACTCGGAAGCAGATTTTGAAGCTGACTGTGGGAGGCCTGAGTCCCGCCACAGCCATTTCCCAGCCAAGAGAGGCGGTGACTGAGCAGGCTACCCAGCCTGGGAAACTGTGCTTTTTCCGTGAAACTGTGCAATCCACTGATCAGAAGATTCCACTCCTGAAGCCACGCCACTGGAGCCTCAGATTCCAACCCGGGAGTTGAACAGATTCTTAACATCCTCTCAGCTAGAGTCTGCTTAAGCCTGCTGAGTTCCCCGGGGAGGGGCGACCAGCACCATGGCTGTGGCTGCCTGCTGTCTAAGCCTTTTGAGCTCCTTGGAGGAGGGACAGCAGCCAGCACTGAGACTCCCAATTGCCTAAAAGGCTAAGCTCCCTGGGCACGGGAAGGGCAGCAGCAATTTCTAGAGCTCCTGGCTGCATTTTTTTCCCTGCTAGAGCCAGGGAGGCTAGACAACTTGGTCTCAAGAGGTGTCCCCCACAGCCCAACACACTGGCTGTGGCAGACTGCAGCCAAAGTGTCTCTTTAGGCCTGACCCTGACTCATCCCTCCTCACTGGGCAGGGCCTCCCTGCAGGAACTCCAACAACTCCAGCCAGGGGCTCAGGGACATAACTCTGATCTCCCTGGGCCCGAGCCCCTAAGGGGAGGGGTGGCTGCAGTCTCTGCGGACCAGCAGACTTAGCCTTTCCTCCTGCTAGTTCTGAAAAATGCAGGCAGCCCAGATGAGTGGGTTTCCCCCCAGTGAAACACTCCCCTCTACCAAGGAACAAAGTGCTTCATTAAATGGGTTCTCCTCCCCATGCCACTCAACTGGATGAAACCCTTCAACAGGAGTTGTCAGACACCCTATACAGAAGCAATCCTACTGGCATCAGGTTGGTGCCTCTTGAGGTCAGAGATTCCAGAGGAAGGAGCAGACACTCTTCTTTGCTATTCTTCACCCTCCTTGATTGACATCTCCAGGAACAGGAGTGAACCTGTTGTCCTGAATAGGGCCTAAAGTGATCCCCCAGCAAACTGCAGCAGCCCTACAGAAGAGGGACCTAACCACTGAAAGAAAATCAAACAAACAGAAAGCAACAACAACAGCATCAACAACAAAAAAGTACCGACAAAAACCCATCCAAAGCCAGGCATGGTGGCTCACACCGGTAATCTCAATACTTTGGGAGGCTGAGGCAGGCAGATCACTTGAGGTCAGGAGTTCAAAACCAGCCTGGCCAACATGGTGAAAACCCCATCTCTACTAAAAAATACAAAAATTAGCCAGGCATTGTGTTGCATGCCTGTAGTCCCGGCTACTCAGGAGTCTGAGACACGAGAATCACTTGAACCTGGGATGCGAAGGTTGCACTGAGCCGAGATTGTGCCACTGCCCTCCAGCCTGGGTGACACAGTGAGACTCTGTCTCAAAACAAAACAAAACAAAACAAAAACAAAAACAACAATTCAATTGTCAGCAAACTCAAAGATCAAAACTAGACAAGTTCATGAAGATGAGAAAGAATCAACAAAAGAACGCTGAAAGGCCAGAGTGCTGCTTTTCCTCCGAGTTATCAAAATGTCTCTTCAGCAAGGGCGCAGAACTGGACAGAGGATGAGATGGATGAATTGACAGATGTAGGCTTCAGAAGATGGGTAATAAACTCTGCTCAGCTAAAGGAACATGTTCTAACCCAATTCCAAGAAGCTAAGAACCTTGATAAAAGGTTAGAGGAACTGCTAACTTAGAATAACCAGTTTAGAGAGGAATTTAAATGATCTGATGGAGGTGAAAAACACAGCATGAGAACTTCATGAAGCATACAAAAGTATTTGTAGCCGAATTGACCAAGCAGAAGAAAGGACATCAGAGTTTGAAGACCACCTTGCCAAAATAAGGCATGCAGACACGATTAAACAAAACATAATAAAAAGGAACAAGCAAAGCCCTTGAGAAATATAATGTTCTGTGCAGGAAACACATGAGGGGAGAAGAAAAGACACACACTTGCAATACCTTTAAGGGTAAACAAGCTTTATCCCAGGTAAATGGCAATGCATCTATAATAAGAAAATTGACATAATAAGAACATTGCAATGGGAAGGGGAGAAGAGAAAAAAATCCTCCATACACTCGCCAGACTATGGAGGATTCATCAGCAGACCAGGAAGCAACAGTCTGAACTCCAGAGTCCGACACCCACTCACCAGACCACGATTCACCACCACACCAGAAAACAACAGCCTGGGCCCAAGAGTCAGCCACCCGTCCCTGCACAGACAAGGAGAGGTCTTTGAAGCTTTGGTGGAGTCCAGGGTCCTAGCTCCTTTTATAACAAGTTGTTTGGCATGAGGCCCAGTTGCAACTGGGCTCTTTGCAACTGGGCTCAAGGAACACAAAAAGGTCAACATGTTTTTTTTGCGATTGGCTATTCTTTTTCAGTAACTAACATATAGGAATAGACTAAAGTAGAGATTTCTCCAAAACAATCTGCGCCCCGAGTTCTCTTTGCCCAGCTTGGCCTCAGTCCCATTCAGCCAGAAGATGGCAGCTGCACTGACAGCCAGGCCCCCAGGCGTCCTGTCTCTTCACTGCACTGTGACTGTGCGCTGGCCTGGAGCCCTCTCTGGGCAGCTCTGTACCTGCAGCCTAGCGTCTCTCCCAGATTGTGCAGGGACCAGGGGAGGGTCAGCAGAGGAATGCCTCAAGCGGCTTACATAACCTGTTCCAGGACTTGATGACCATTGTGTGTGTCCACATTCAGTTGAGTTCAAATTTAATATTTAACTTTTCCTCCACAAATTCCCCTGTCTTGATGAATCACCTCTGTCTAGACAAGATGAAGCCCTTAGGCTGTTACACAACCTCCGCCTCCTGGGTTCAAGCGATTCCCCTGCTTCAGCCTCCGTAGCACCTGGGACTACAGGTATGTACCACCACACGTGGCTAATTTTTTGTATTTTTATTAGAGATGAGGTTTCACCACGTTGGCCAGGCTGGTCTTGAACTCTTGACCTCAAGAGATCCACCCACTTTCGCTTCCCAAAGTGCTGGGATTACAAGCGTGCACCAGCGGACTGGCCCTAAATGATTTCTTTCTGTCTCCTGTAACAGTTTGAAATTACTTAAAGGTTGCTTCAAATTGAAAAAATAAAAATAATATAGATAAAATAAAATATAAACAGTTAAAAAATTATATTAGATTACAAAATATATATGTAAATCTCGAGAGGTCAAAAATGACAAATTTGATCTTTTATAACGTTTTATCAAAATTACCTTTAGTATTGACAATACATTATTGCCAAAGTAAAAGTTGATTTTCTCTTGAAAAAAAGTTTTATGTATTATTAATATGAGAGCAAAATACTTCTGTTCACCTTTTGAATACATTCAACGAGAGAGAGAGTAAAGAAAAGAGAATTTCCCCAGGCTCTGGGGTGGGCTTGGCTCAGCTCAGGGAGGAAGCCCTGCCTGAAAAGGCTGCAGCTTAGGCTGTCACTCTTTCATCACTCAGCCCAGCGTCTGATCACATCTACTGTCACTCCGGGCCTAAGGGGGCGGGGTCTTAAGCATTATCCAATCAGGGACGGCGGGCTGGAAACCGTCCAATCAGAAAGGCAGCTGGAGCGAAGAGGGCGGTTTCCGGGTTTGGTGAGGCCTCTGTCTCTCGCCGTAGTCAGAGCTCTAGGTCTAGTTCTCACTACTCCTGGACGCTCAGGCTGTGTGGTCCTGTGTCCTGCAGGTATTGGGAGATCCACAGCTAAGACACCGGGACCTCCTGGAAGCCAAAAATGGTGAGAGTGCCGATCCGACATCCCGAGAGAGGAGAGGGACTGGTTGGAACCGGTGAAAAGTGGCTGTGGCGGGACTCAGGCCTCCCCGCAGTCAGTTCCACAATCTGCGTCCCCAGTTCTCCTTGCCCAGCTCGGCCTCAATCCCGTTCAGCCATAAGATGGCAGCTGTGCTGACAGCCGGGCCCCCGGGCGCTTTGTCTCTTCACTGCGCGGTGACTGTGCCCTGGCGTGGAGCCTTCTCTGGGCAGCTCTGCACCCGCAGCGTGGCGTCTCTCCCAGATTGTGCAGGGACCAGGGGAGGTTGGGCAGGGGAGAATCCCGACTCGGGGTGCGGGTTCATGAATGGGAAGAGCTTTGTTCCTTTGGGTTTACAGTTTCTCTTTTCTCCTATTAAAAATTTATGGGGTCGGACGCGGTGGCTCACGCCTGTAATCCCAACGTTTTGGGAAGCCGAGGCGGGTGGATCACTTGAGGTAAAGAGGTGTTAGGACAACAAAGTTCCTCTTAAATGACTTAACTTTCTGGTCATAAGTTGTAAAAGTTGTAAATCAACCCTACCCCTTCTTCTTCCCCCTTTTCCTTTTCTCGCAAGTCGCCCATTTACCTTATTTGGAAAAAGTTTCGGTCTAAGCTTACCGGGATCAGCTTAGAGTGTGCGGTCTGATCCCAGACAACAGGGGAGGGAAACAAAAACAGGAACTGCATTAGGGTTCAAAACCCCGTCCTGGCTGGGCACGGTGGCTCAAGCCTGCAATCCCAGCACTTCGGAGGCCGATGCGGGTGGATCACGTGGTCAGGAGTTGTAGACCAGCCTGGCAAACGTGGTGAAACGCGTCTCTACTAAAAATACGAAAACTATCTGGGTGTGGTGGCTCGTGCCTGTAGTACCAGCTACTTGGAAGGCTGAGGCACGAGAATTTCTTGAACCCTGGAGGCGGAAGTTGCAGTGAGCTGAGATCCAGTCATCTTAGCCTGCTAGACAAAACGAGACTCCGGCTCAAAAAAAAAAAAAAAAAGTAAGCATCTTAAAACTTCCTTTATGTAAACACTGTGAGTAATTTCACTGATTTTCTAACACTTAGTTTCAAAAAACCAAGTGAATAACTCTGAAGTGGAAATTAAAGCTTGAACCTAGTGTCTCCAAGCTAAGGCTAATATTAAGCCTGCAACAGGAGGGTTTTTGTTATTGTTGTTTTTGACACAGTGTCGCTCTTGGTGCTCAGGCTGGAATGTAATGGCGTGATCTTGGCTTACCGGGTTCAAGTGATTCTCCTACCTCAGCCCCTCCAGTAACTGGGATTACAGGCATGCACCATCACGCCCGGCTAATTTTGGTGTTTCGTAGAGACGGGTTTTCTCCGTGTTTGTCAGGCTGGTCTTGAAGTCTCTGCATCAGGCCCGCCTCAGCCTCCCAAAGTGCTGGCATTATTGGTATGAGCCACCGCACGCGGCTAATAGGAGGTTATTAAAGGCCCTGTTAGTTTTTTTCTGGGGAGTCTCCCCTGCAGATATCTCAGACTGCTCACCCCAGCCATGGAAGGAGACTTTATTCTGAAAGAAGCTACAGAGCCCTGGAAAGCTGGGGCCTCACAGGCAGATGCGGTTAAGATTAAGATGAAAGGAAACTGGGAGGGTCTTACTGGTAATGAAGTTGTTATGATTTTGAGGCACTTTTTACGCTTTCTAAAATAAAAATGTTAGATTTACGTAAAAAAAAAAAAATGAGTTCCTAAAAAGTATTGCAACAGGAAGAAGTACCAACTAACTAAAAGATCTTTATGGCTTGCAAAAAATGTAGGCAGAAAAGGGCTTTCTTTTGTAGGGAGGAGTAAAAAAGATTACAGAGGAAGGTGAGAGGGGAATGGCAAATGGAGGGTGAAAAAGTCAGATTTTAGATCAGAGAATGTCTTACCCTGAAATCAGTGTGTTCTTAGGAGGGACATAAAATGGGGTTGTATGTTGACTCAGACTGAGGGCAGCTCAAAGTTCACTAGCCTGAGGGATGGAGATAAACTTAAGTAAAGTTTGATTAAGAAATATTTTAGGCTGAGCGCCATGGCTCAGGCATGTAATCCCAGCAGTTTGGAAGGCTGAGGCAGGCGGATCACCTGAGGTCAGGAGTTCCAGACCAGCCTGGTCAACATGGTGATACCCTGTGTCTACTAAAAATACAAAAATTAGCCAGTAGTCATGGTGGCCACCTGTAATGCCAGCTACTTGGGAGGCTGAGGCAGGAGAATTGCTTGAACCCTGGAGGCAGAGGTTGCAGTGAGCTGAGATGGTGCCAAGGAACTCCAGCCTGGGTGGCAGACCGAGACTCCATCTCAAAAAAAAAAAAAAAAAATTATTTTGACCACTGAAGACAAATTCAACTGAATTTCTTAATGAGAAAAAGGAGAAAATGTGCAGAGTATATGTCTGGCTGTGTGATAGGTAAGAAAAGAGGGCACCATCTAAGTCATAATGAGAAGGGCATTTCTTTCCATATGCTGTTCCTGGAGCACACAAAGGATGGAGGATTTTATTAATCACAAATACTTTCCAGGATTATCTATGTATTTCATCTTTCCCCATCTCTTTTCTTTGTTCTATGCATTTCTTCCATTTGGCTTTTCCTGGGCTGCATCTTATATATGAAACTGGTAAACATAACTACAGTGTTTTGCTGAGTTCTGCAAGTAGCTGTACCAAATTATTGAATTTCAGGGAGGTTTGGGAGTCCTCAGTTTTCAAACAGTAGCTCAGAAGTATAGATGGGCCTATGGGGTTTTTGATTGGCATCGGCAGTGAGGACAATGTTGTGAGGATGAGCCCTGGATCAGGGTCTGTGCTGACTCTGGGTGGTGTCAGAATTCAAATATTAGGCAATGAGTTGGTGTTGGAGAATTGTTTGATGTTCAGCAAACTCTACAGATTTGGTGTCAGAAAAAAGATATCACGGAGGCCTGACCTGGAACAAAGCTCTGAGTATTTGAAAATGGGAGGCTCTATTCTCCTGTACACAGGCTGTCACACTGCCTGTTGTCCTATGATTTAAGGTCTTCTTCCAGGGTGACAGAAGACTAAAAACTTAGAGGAAAGAGCTCTGATGACAGACCCCCTTTTCTTGCAGCTGCCATCACAGGATTCCCACCCACTCACAAACACACACACTAGACACTGACGTGTCCACACTCTTCCCAGGACTAAGCACCACCCTCAGGAACTTCACCACGGCATTTTTTATCCTAGTGTTTCTTGCTAAGAACCCAGAAGTCTCTACAAGTCTCTGGGCATATACCCACCCCTAGACACAGAATCTGCAACAGCAACCTGTTTTCTCCACCAGCCTAAGGTTCTGGACCTCCTGTTTATAATCTCATCTGTCTGCATGCAAACAAAAATAAATCAGAATACAGCACCACCTGGGCCACTATCTGTAATGAAAATCAGTCCTTTCACCTACATTGCACTCTCTCCCACTCCCACACAGGGATTTTTTTTTTTTTTTAAAAGCTTTGATTTTTGGTGGGGTGTACACATGTGGGTTTGTTACACAGCTAAAATTATGCCATGGGAGTTTGGAGTGCAGATTATTTTGTCACTGAGGTACTAAGCATAGCACCAAACAGGTATGTTTTCTGATCCTCTTACTCCTCCCACCCTCCCGCCTCAACTAGGCCTCACTGTCTGTTGTTCTCTTTGCGTTGATGTGTTCTTATTACTTAGCTCTTACTGGTACATAATAACCTGCATTTGGTTCGCTGTTTCTGCATTAGTTTTCTTTTTTTGTTTTTTGTTTTGTTTTGTTTTTTTGAGATGTATTTTTGTTCTTGTTGCCCAGGCTGGAATGCAATTGTGCGACCTCGGCTCACCACAGTCTTCGCCTCCTGGATTCAAGCGATTCTCCTGCCTCAGCCTCCTATGTAGCTGGGATTACAGGCGCATGCCACTACACCTGGCTGATTTTGTATTTTTAGTAGAGAGGGGTTTCTCCATGTTGGTCAGGCTGGTCTTAAACTCCTGACCTCAGGTGATTATCCCACCTCGGCCTCCCAAAGTGCTGGGATTACAGGCATGAGCCACAGCGCCCGGCCTCTGCATTAGTTTTCTAAGAATAATTGTCTCCAGTTTCATCAATGTTATTGCAAAGGACATGGTCATTTTTTTTTTTTTTTCATGACCACAGAGTATTCCATGATGTTTATGTACCATGTTTTGTTTTTACTAAATCTTTTATTTTATTGTATTTTTGGAGACAGGCTTATTGCCCAGGCTAGAGTGCCATGGCATGATATTGGCTTACTTTAGCTTCAACCTTTCAGGCTCAAGCAGTTCTCTCCTACTTCATCCTCCCAAGTAGCTGGGATTACACATATGCATTACCATGCCTGACCAGTTTTTCTTTTTGTATTTTCTGTGGAGACAGGATTTTGCCATGTTGCCCAGGCTGGTCTGAAACTTCTAAGCTCAGGCAATCCACCTGCCTTGGCCTCCCAAAATGCTGAGATTACAGACATGAGCCCCCGCATCTGACCATACCATATTTTCTTTCTCTTGTCTACCAGTGATAGGCATTCAGGGCCTGTCCACGTCTTTGCTATTGTGAATAGTGCTGCAATGAACATGCATGTGAATATGTCTTTATAATATAATAATTTATATTTCTTTGGGTATATACCCAATTAGGAGGTTCCTGGGTCAAATGATAATTCCGTTTTTAGTTCTTTGAGGAATCACCACACTGATTTTTACTGTCATTGAGCTAATTTACACTCCCACCAGCAGAGTATAAGCATTCCATTTTCTCTGCAACCTTACCCATCTGTTATTTTTTGACTTATTAAATATAACAGCCACCCTGATGGGTGTGAGGTGGTATTTCATTGTGGTTTTTCTTTTAATTTATCTAATGACTAGCGATGACCTTTTTTTTTTTTAATATATAATGCTTCTTAGCCACATGTATTTCTTTTGACAAGCTCATGTTTTTTGTTCATGTTTTTTGCCCCCTTTTTAAT